GATGAAAACTCCGTGTAGTTTGTACATGCTCTACAACATCTATAATCAACGCGTGTATAGGTACATAAAATGATGCTGATTAATAAAGGCTCCCATATAATATTATCTCCTTTGAGCACTTTGCTAGGCGATAAAATATACGAAGGCGTCGGCATGAAGACGCGCAAGCGTATAACATAGGAAAAAGAGACAGCGCGTATAACAGGATCACCGGGATATCAATGTCGGCCCCGGGGGCACTGGCCCTGACAGCGCAATTATCCTCGCTCTCGCACTTGCTCGTCTCCCTCCCCCACCCCCTCTTGACTCGTGCACCTATATACACATCAACGGTTTGAGAGGGTGTCTATTGTGCGTAGGCGACGACGACGACGACGTTATTATTATCTTCCGGGCCGGATGAGCTTTATACAGGCATACACGGCTGCCAAGTGACACGCGCTACCGACCGAACGAGCGTTTACTTGCTCGATGTCTTCGTTTGTTGGATGCGCCGCTCTGCTCGTGACAGTATATAGTAGGGCCACCGCGCTGTGCTCGTCATGCTCCAAATGAGATTATCATTTTGGCTTTTGATGGTGACAATGCGCCCCGTGACTCTGTAATTCGAGTGTCTCCCCACCCCCCCACCCCCTACACTCCCCCTTTTTTTTATTAACCATCTCTATTCTGTGGAGTGTATTATACGATCATAATGGATTTGCCGTGGCTGCGGGGATACAATGGTACTTTTCTTGAAACTTTTCATTACTGCGTTATTTTTAATTATCGAGATTTAGGAGTGGGCAAAAAATTGCATGCAATCTATCAAATCATATCCAACTGACCTTTCAGCATTCAATCGATCGCCTCAAAAATAAAACATTTTTGGTTCAATTGTAACAAAGCGTAATACAAAAATTTAGCTACGTCAGCTCGAATGATGAAAAAGTACCTAATAATTTCTATTTGAACGAGTATACAACTTTCGTAAGGATGTTTTCACAATCCAAAGTACTGGCATCACGTTATTTGTTTCAGCTAATATACGTGGTATACAGGACGGTCCCTCAAAAAACAGCGACCGTATTTTAATTTATTTACATTTCATTTGGTTGCTTGCAGTGTCCATAAATAGAATTAAGGCTTACGGGGGCATTAACACAACAAAAGGCGAAATCAGAGGAGAAAGAGACTCGAAAACTCTCTTGTCTCTCGAAAATAGCCAAGCTGAACCCGGCAAAAGAAACTTTCTCAAAGACGCGCTCCCGGCCATGCCTATACAACGTACAGGGTACAAGTATATACAGGCGAGAGCTTGCAAAGAAAGAGCTCACCGAGATCCAAGAGGTATATGGAGTGCAAGCTCTCGCGGTGGTGATAATACACCCTCCTCGGGACACCGGCCGTAAGTTTAAGCGCAACGCTACAATATACCTGGTACACGATGTACACACCCGTATACAATGCAGATACGACGATGAGGTCGTTACTTTAATTAGGTGGCAGTTGGGAGCCCGGGGGCGGCGATTTGTACCCGATGCCAGCCGGAGCGTGAAAGCGGGGCCGTGAGTGTAACGAGGATCAACCGCTCCTCCCTCCCCCGGATCCTCTAGTATATTTCCATCGGCTCCCGTTGACAGATCAAACGCGCGGCTTTTGCCTGATGTGCAGTGCACGCGGGGGCGCACCTGTCAGGTTAACGTGTATAATCGAGAAAATCAAAGAGCAAACGTATAGTTGTTATATGTACAACATAAACGCATTAAAGGCGGTTACTTTCGCCCCCCCCCCCCCCCCCCCCCGGAAAAACCGGGTTTTTTCTTTTGGGGGCCCTCTCTTTGGGGGTTTTTTTTTTTTTTTTTTTTTTTTTTTTCACCCG